ACTCTTAAGGAAGCAGATAAAATGTGCTATAAAAGTATGAAAGAAGTATAAAACATACTTTATTTTGTCTTTTTGTTACAAGAAAGAGATGTCTTTATATATAAAAATATAGTTAATAGCAAAATATTTCATTGATGTTGCATTAAAAAATGAGAGAAGCGAAGGAAAACGCAAAGGTAAATTGCCTAAAAAGGAGTTTGTTATCTGAAGTATCAAATAAATATCTTCAAAGTATTTTAACATGAAAATGAAAAATACGATAAAGTTTTTAAAATTATTTTGTTGTAAAAAGGTTTTAATATTGGATTTCTTTTTGCAAAGAAACAACGATTTATTTATTTTTTAAGCAGTGAAAAGATAATCGAAATTTTACTTTTATCGATTTACTATTTTAGGAAATCCAGTGAAAACTTCACAGATATTTTATTAAGCTACTATAAAAAAAAGTGTTTATGGAACTTGTTTAGAATTTTATTTTATTTTTAACACATGACTATAAAAATAACTCGTAATGGTTTTCTTAATTAATCTAAGAATATATAAAACAGAATAGTAGTCATTTTACTTTGATCAGATAAAACATTTTATAAATGTGGGAAAAATTTTAAATACTCCATTAAATTACATTTTAAGCATTTATTGAGTTATTAAGAATTTTATTCCAGTGCATACAATTTGTAATCCTGTTACTAATCCTCCAGTATGTTTACTGCAGTTATTGCTGATGATAGTTTACACAATTTACTGTAATCTACTGAAAGGTATTTAATACTTTATTTGCTAAATGTTTTCAGTTTTTTATATTTCTGAAAACGGCAAAGCACACGACAGCTATTTGCCAAAGACAAGAGATGATTTTATGGAGGACTTTCGAAGGAAAATTGGATAGTATTAAATAAATCAGGTAAAAATCGCTAAAACACTCATCCAATAACAAGAATCCAATAGTCAGAATCCGAAACAGATAATGCCGTTGAAGTTACCAGTGTTCATCGGCGCTATCCGCTCGGGGTCGGATTAGATAAATAGTTTTTTAAATTACGCAAGTCTTTTTATTAATCTTTTAGAAAGAATTCTCACATAAAAAATAATTTATAATCAATGTTTCGAACTGCAGTTTCAACAATTCCGTACAGACCTCGTGATGAAATGCACTTTCAAACTACAACTTTCTTCTACCTTGCACTAAAATATCTCTTCTCTTAAATGTTTATTAAATTTCAGATATGATATACCTTCTGAATACTAACTGTGCCTTTAACTATGAAAACAAGTTCTTTTATTTTCAGTACCTTTTTCCTGTGAAATAATCAGGTCAATTTTTAATTCCTTGTACGAAGTAAAAAGGAAGTATTGTAATCGCAAAAAGTTTCAGGCAGCATATTTCAACGAAAATATCCATTTTAACCGCTATCGAATGCAATTTAACGATGTTTTTGCGTGATATCTGTACGTAAGGACAGAATATAAAAATATCTTTTCCTTTAAAAAAATTATAAAACTGCTTTAAAATTAATTCTGAAGAGAATTTTTCGTGGCGTCTGTACGAACGTATGTATGTACGTACGTATCTCGCAAAACTCAAAAACGAGTAGCCTCAGAACGTTGAAATTTTGCATATAGGACTGCTATAACATGTAGATGAGCACCTCGTATTTTGGTTGCAATCGGCCGCACCAAACGTATATAAATATTTGCAGCAATTGCGCAAGTAATAATAACTTGTATTCGCACTAAATGGATTTAAGTTCATACAATATTTATATATATATATATATATCCCCTCTATTACCCGGCTCAGTGATCTCAGTTTCTTTACTCTTATATGTTTGTAAATTATACATTTTTTGCTTTAAAAATGATTGAATTATGTTGTTTTTATCTTCCGGTTAAGGATTTTATGCCTTTAGTAAATCTGTGTGCAATATTTTTAGAATTATCAGCAATTTTAAAGTTCTTTAATTGCCGCTAAGCCTGTTTATAATGGCTGCCATTGATGTTTACATTTGAAACAGGAGACTAGTGGATATGTTGCCAATCTAGAGAAACTTAGCTTCGCAACAACAAAGATAACGCATTCATTTATTATTGCCAATTAAATCATGCTTAACTCTTTCTGGAATTTTTTCGAGGAAATAAGCGTTTGAAATTTACTTCGTAATTTTTAATACAGATGTTTTGAGTTTTTATGTATTTTTGCCTTCTCGCGAAGTGAGAATTGAATTAATTAAATGAGAAATACTCAATCGTCTGTGAAAAACTGTTTCTTTTTTGTTTTGTTTGCTTAATTTCTTTTATACATCATTCGAGCTTTATTATAGTATTTGAATAGAACATGTGGCAACGATTAGATAATTCTTTAAATGATATAAATTTTGTGCATTCTGAGTTATATAATTGAAACGAAATATAATACTGTTAAGTAAACCTAGCGCCAGAGTGTCGCTATGGTAAACAAAGTGAATTTTAAAGAATGCATTTATTCTATTGTGGTTTATGCGCTGTCGGCGAAGTAGGTTTAATTCAATCTAATAAGTTTAAATAAAATGCAAGAAAAAATGCGTATAATTTAATTTTCCGTCAAGGAAGTCATATGTTGTACACATCAGATTTTTTTTTTTTTTTTTTTTTTTTTTTTTGTACAGTAATCATCACGAAAATCAAAGATTAATTCACACTATCAAACGAAATTATTCATATTTATGTCAATTTATTTAATACTAGTAAGACCCCCCCCCGATTCTCCAACGAATCGAATAAGCGATCACGTGAGACTCATTACAGTATGAATTGCATGGAATGATAGTGGAAGATGAAAAAATAAAGAATAAATCCAGTTTTAAAGTTGCATACACATTATAAGACTTAACGAAAACGAAATCAAATAATGTTAAATAAAGATTAAACAAAGTGAGACCAATTATTTTATGGTTTTATTTTACAACAAAACTCAAACTTTGCGCAACAGTGAGCGGAAAAGTTAACAAAATAAATCAACTCATAAAAATTAATCAAAAACTTCACTGTTGCCCGATGTTTCGGGTAATTTATTATTAAGCATTGTTAACCGCTCCTAAACATCAATGAACATATTGCAATATAACATCATGCAATAGTATTGTTAAGCATTGTTAACCACTCCTAAACATCAATGAACATTTATCAGCTGAGTGCATCCACGTGACACACACATTTTGTTCACTCTCTTCACCTTTTCTAATATAAGATTACAACCTCATTAAATACAGTGTCACTTAAATTTCTTTTATACGTTAAGAATTTCCTATACATCACTTTTAAGTATAGCGCTCACACAAAAAATACATGAGCAGAATTTATCGTTGCTTCACTTGAAGATATGTAACCTATTTAATTACATATTGGAATGTGCTCACAATAGTATTTATCAAAATCATAATTCTTTCTGTGCAAATGTGCCTTTTCTTTGGAGGATGAAACATGCATAACAATTGAGTACCTTAAATCCGTTAGAGCTCTTATGCAATATACATGTTTCATATTAGAGGAATAAGTGCAAGAATCATATTTTTCATGTAAAAAGCGAGATTTGACCTGTCGTTTCAAGCAAATGAAGTGCACATGCTGCAAACCAGCATTTTCTTTTCATTCACATTTTTAGAATACCCCTTTTCATTGCATATTTAGAATACTATTTCCATATATTCCTAATCATTTTCATTTTTAATAAGCAGAGTAACAAAGTATTGTAAATAGATTCGGATATAACGCTTCGGATAAATCAGCAATTTTCAATGTATCTGTAATAGCTCAGTAAAAGGAAATAATTAGTTTAAAGTATTTGAAATGTTTCACGATGTTAGTTTCAAGATGAGTCGAAAATTACATTTCATAGATATTATTTTAATTTTAAAAAAAATTTAAATTGATGAATTTATTAAGTGTAGTACATTTTTTACATATAATTGAATATCTCTGCACTTGTATTATTGTAACAAAAATTGCTGAATTTTTGCGTCTTTTTTTAATATTATTTTCACTATGTTATTTATTTTTATTGGGAATATTATTAAGTGTCATTTACTTTGAGCATAAAATATTTGTGAATAATATTAAATATAACTGGTATCTCAAAATTGAATAATTTCAGGAGCTACTGTATCATACTACCTCAGAATGTCATAAAGAACAAATTGCCCAATAGCAGACTGGAAAACTGTATCCCAAACCTTTGAAAAATCGCATATTACAGCCTTTAACAAAAACGCATCATTGAAAAATACTGTTTTATCTGAAAAATTATATCTGAATCTATTAACATTGTTTTGTTTCATTCACACGTATCACACATATTTATATTTAATTAGTGTAACTGAATCATATATTTATAGGCGAGTATTAAATATTATGCTTCATATGCAAATACTTTATTTGTCGGGGGGAGGAAAAAAAGCTGTCCAATAAACTTAAATATTTAAAATTTAAATTTAAATTTGTTGACTAATTAAAGCTCAAAATTTGCAAATTAATATACAAAAAACTGGCAGTACTTATGGGTTACATAATATACCTTACAACAGGCTTTAATTTTTAATATATTTTAAAATATCATCTCTACTTCAGTTTTGGGCCTTTAACGTTTGTAAGTTAATGTTCCCGACCGTTTAAACGGACCTTTTAAGTGACATATACCATTTTAGTAATTCAGTAACTAAAGTACGTATATAACGTACGCAGACAGCTAAATGCGAACTGTATAATCAATGGATTTTAAACGGTTTAGTGTATAGGAATATTAGGAAACTGGAGAATAAGGAATGATCCAGATTTCGAAGGGAGTATTTTCATCATTTCAAGCGCCGCACTTTGAGTATCGATTTTCGTACGAAACTTAGTGCTCGGTCTCCATTCTCGGAGACATGAGCCGGACTGCTTGTCTCCTCCCACCACTTTCACCACTACCATCTCACACAGAGTTTCTAAAAGTAGAAGAGGTATAAAATTTGAAAGGTTTTACGCACCGTGGGCGAGTAGAATGCGGACTGCTCAGCGGAGAGCGGCAGGAAGCCTTGTTCGGAGCCGTATGCGGCGGCGGCTGCAGCAGCGGCCGCCGCGGTGCCGTATACGTTTAGCGGGAGGCCTGAAGCGGCCAGACGCTGATACCCAAGCAGTTGGGCGTCGTACTGGCATGAGCAGACCGTCTGTCCCGTCAAGGGATCCGTGAGCACCGGACGTCCTGATTCGCAGCACGGCTGACCTCCAGTGGATCCACCGCCCGTTCCGCCGCCGGTGGGCGCCGTGCCTCCCGATAACGGCTGCCCGGACTGTCCGGCCATTAACAGCTGAAAAGACAAAAAAGAGAAAAAAAGATTAGCATCTTACTCTTGATGATATCCCAACTTCCGCTATACCTCTCACCACACACACACACACACATACACATACACAAACATGCATGTAACAGTACTGCCAAAATCAATGGTTGAACAGACACGGAAATAATCATACTAAAATACCTACCTTATTCAAAGCACGTATCCATTGTTTAAGGATGGGGGATGCCTATGATCTGATAAAAATTATCACTCGGCTTAGGTTATTTTATCATTGTTTTTTATAACTACTTATCATGCATTATTTAAACCTTGTCATTTATTTATTATAAACTAGCATCAGCCTGTCACATTATGGTTTGAAAACGCAGTAAATGTAGATAGCTTACTTAAAAGCCCCTGTTATATACTTCCATTAGCATATTTTATACTTGTGGGTGATAAATAAAGGGAAATAACTTATGATCAAAGTTTTACAGTAAGTAAAGGATTCAAAAAGTATAAGCAGATCACCATTGAAAAGAGATTAAAAAGAAATCAATATTTAAGAAACAGGGAGTGTATTCTAGATGGCTCTATATGAATAACTTAAAACTGAAGTATATTGTGATTATTACTGCTGTACTTAAGATTAAAGAGCATTTTATTTAATGCGCTGAGAGTTTTAGTCAGTAATGATTAATAATGATGACATTGTAACGTTGCCTGAACTTTTTTTGTAAATATAACAATGCTCTTTTTATTTACTTTCCATATCGTTACATTTTATTATGGTTTTATATATATAGACAGATATAGATAGATGGATAAATATACTTAAGTGTTCCGTCTGTTATTGTTATGATTTATTAGATTTTATTATTTCTCTCTCGTAGATTTTTTTTATTTGTTTATTCCATTGTATAAAAAAAAAAAAAAAAAAAAAAAAAGCTTCTCAAAATTTTAAGAATTTGAGCAATTTGAAAAATTCAAATATTTTTTATTGCTAACGTCGTAACGAAAAAATGCTTTCTATTAACTACTACTATCTGTTATAAGGAGTGTGAGATTAAAGATTAATCAATGATTTTGTACTTACGGATTAGTCAAAGATTCTATATTTAAGGATTGTTGTGCAAAAAGGAATCTGTTTTCAAGTTAAAATACTTGCGATATTGTTATTTGGACTTGAAAATAACTTTACATCAAACTGATAGCTCCCACGAATTCGCAACTGTAAACAGATGAGAGTCCCAAATGAACAATGTATGTACTAAATGAGAGTCTGGTGTCAGGCTCTGTTATTCATAGTTGGCCTAAAAAGGTTTAGCTGTTTAGCTGTAATGTGTGTGTGTGTGTGTGTGATTATGGCAAAGCCTCGAGGGCTATCTGCCTAAGGGGAGGAATGCCTTCGTGGAGGACTTTCTAAGGGAAACTGGTTCGTATACACGTTACACATGGGGAAAACCACGAAAACGCCCATGCAGCCAGCCCGTTCGCGGGATTCGAACCTCGGACCGAACTACCAGTGTTCAGCGACTTTACCGCTCGGCTGCTGGTGGGCGGTTTAGCTGTAAGTTATCATTTTTATGAAAGAACGAAAAAGATTGTAAATATGCTAATCAAATCGTACGGTTTACTCGTGCGGAATTAAAAAAAAAAAAAAAAAAAAAAAAAAAAGACCGTCATAAGATAGCTTAAATTGTCTGTCAGATCATTAAGTAAATTTACAGAATATTTTTATAAATGATATATGAATAATGTCATACTATATTTTACTACTAAAATACAGTGAGAATATTATAACTTATCGTTGTAACAAGCTATACTTCAGTTTAGTTAGCTCCTAATAATTAATGAAACATATGTTCATCTTAATGTCATCATTCATTCATCATTGTGATTATGGCAAAGCCTCGAGGGCTATCTGCCTAAGAGGAGGGATGCCTTCGTGGAGGACTTTCCAAGGGAAACTGGCTCGTATACACGTTACACATGGGGAAAACCACGAAAACGCCCATGCAGCCAGCCCGTTCGCGGGATTCGAACCTCGGACCGAACTACCAGTGTTCAGCGATTTTACCCCTCGGCCGCTGGTGGGCCTCATCTTAATGAAAAATCGATCTGTTTATATGCTGTGTAAGTTTTGAAAGATTTAGCCCTTTTCCTGTCAAATCAAACCAAATCTCAATCATTTCTACTGAGATTTCTAATACTACAATTTATTTTAGCATTTCCGAAATACGATATGTTAAGAACATATATGGCATACATCATTTGCTGAATTCTGCATATAAAACTCATCGAGTAGTGAAATTTCAGGACCTTTTCGTGAAAGATCGAAACGTAATAAATAAACAATAGTTCATTTAATCCAAAAACCAAGCATCATGTTAACTAATTTCTGTAAATAACATTGTTTTTTAATTAATTTAATTAAAACAACAACGTTATTTATAACAGTAACTGCCAAATTTAAAATTTTCAGAGTTTAATTTCTAAAGATCTCTAATCCTGCTTAGGATAATATAGTATGAATCTAAAATTATAGAAAGAGTTTTAACAAAAAACAAATTTATGAACTGTAACAAATGTGACTCACTACAAATCACATTCAAAGTGCAGAGCCAGCGGCCGAGCGGTAAAGACGCTGAACACTGGTAGTTCCGTCCGAGGTTCGAATCCCGCGAACGGGCTGGCTGCATGGGCGTTTTCGTGGTTTTCCCCATGTGTAACGTGTATACGAGCCAGTTTCCCTTAGAAAGTCCTCCACGAAAGGCATCCCTCCCCTCAGGCAGATAGCCCTAGCGTGCTTTGCCATAATTAAATACACACACACTCAAAGTGCAGAGATTCTTGGGAAACTTCAGTATGCGATTCCAAGTCACGTTCTAGCTAATGTACTGAGAGATCGGGATGTTATTTTTTGCATTTTAGGCAGGACATTCAGTTTATATAAATGTTTAAAAGGCAGTACATTATGTTTAAAAGTTTATATAAAGCATTTATTTACACTGTCATACATTTTAATTTAAGTGCATATATGCAGATCTATCTTTTCCTTTGAAGAACATAGTTTAATAGCATATGTATTAGTGCTCTAATTTCTCTCTCTGTATATGTATAATCACTTATGATTTATAGCTGCTTTCCGAAATAGTAATCAGAAAGTTTGTATTGCCACAAATATTTATATAATTTAATTCGCTTTGCGTCAAAAGTTTTCGTCATGTTTCCACCTTGCGCGCACCGTTTAAAACATTCTGTTGCGTAATTTAATTCCATTTTTAATATAGAGCTTTTATAACATTTGGAAACTACTGTGAACCGAAAATTCTAAGAATTTCACGTTAAATTTTTATTTTATTTGGATTGGAGTTTAAAAAATGCATTTTATTAAAAAAAATCTGTAATGTTTTCGTGCTACAATTTTTTAATATGAAAATATTCATCAGAATTTTGGTTCAGTTAGAAAATAGTGCCCATGTAAAGAATTCCGTCAAATTTCAAGTATGCACCATTAGCCATTTTTAAAATATCATGCGCGCAAGGCGGAAACGTGACGAAACATTTTGTCACAAGAGCGTATTAAATTATAAAACTATTTGTGGCAACAGAAACGTTTCTAGATTACTAATTTAAGAAAGCAGCCATATTATATAGTCAGCTGTAAAATGTCGGAACTAATTGCTTTTAAATTAAATAAAATATCCTAACTCTTCCAACAGTCACATATTCGAAAATCATAAGGAGTTTAAGGTGTATGAGACCCCTTAAACCTGACTGTTTCTGGGATTTCTCCCATGTGATAAAAAGTACAAGCCAGTTTTCTTTAAAACTCTTATATGGAGACATCCCTTTAGGCTGATTTGCCATATTGCAAAAAACAAACAAGCAAAAGTAACATACATTTAAATTACATTACCGTTAGTTTTCCCCGTGTATATTCTAAGTCCAGTAGGATGATAATTTAAGAATTTAAAAATAATGAAATAAAATTACACGTTGAACATTTATTTTGAAATCACAAACTAGTTTCATTTCCTTTAAAGGATTTAAATAAAAATAAAAAGCTCAAAAGTGAAATCTGATAGCTTAATTTGGAAAAAAAAATTTCAAGGTGATATTAATTTAAAAATTAGGTGTTTAAAAATTAGTCATTTCTATTTTTTTATGCTAATCATGAGTTATCCACAAAAAATTGTTTATCAATGTAAACGCTTAAAAACCATTATCATTATACACACCTAAAAAAACCTGCCAGTGCAGAGTAATTATCCCAAATAATTCTGCCCCAATTAACTTTGTTAAACGGGTTTCTGTTACTTTTGCAAATATAATTAGTCAAGATTACAATAATTAATATATGAGATTCATTTTTAATAGCATTATACAGATTATTATAATTTAATTTCACATTTTCCGCTTATTCTTAGAAGCACCTTCTAGCGAACTTGTAAAGGTTTAGCATCTTTTTATTATTACATTCTATTACTATAAAAAAATAAGAAATAGAGATAGATACACTAACAGATAGATGTAAACAGAAATATAGATTCATGTGAACTTAAAGGGATCATGTGAAATTACATTTTTTTTACACACACATGTTTTCGAATCATATTTATTTATAAGTTTATAAAAATGGACAACTATGTAACTTTAAAATGTTCACAATTTTAATTATTACAAACACTAGAATTTTTTTCTTCAAAAGTTTTCATATTTCTTATAAAAAATAGTAGGTATTTGAAACTTCCATTCTATTGCGTATTTATTATTGCAACAATAGATAGAAACAGTGAAGGGCAAACTTTTTCAAACAATTAATTCCAAACATTATCATATATTATTTTATTAATAAAAGTTTTATAAATATTTTAAAATAAGATTATTTTATTTTTATTTATTTATTCGCCATTTTATGAATGAAGAAATGTGTTTTCTCATTCCACTTATATACATCCCAACACTACAAATTGTCCATTGTCAAAATCATTCTTTTATTTGTATAATGAATGCGTTAAGTT